ATCCTTTAATGTAGTCTGAGCTCTGACTTAATTCTTCTGCTTCCATTTCCCTTATCTCAGGTACGTACCCGGTTCCCGCCAGAACCCAATGGAATCCTGCACATTGGACATGCCAAAGCCATCAATTTCAATTTTGGCTACGCCAAGGTGAGTGTGTCTGGGGACCTGGTAAACAGGGTGACCACTTGCTGCTCCTATTACTGGGTACCAGAGAGGTGTTTCTACCTTTCCTGATGCTCCATAATATGACCCAGAGCAGACAGAGGCCATGGAGGGGATACCTAGAAATGTGTGACAGATACCTAGGAATCTACCCCACTGGGCTTATTGGGAGAAAGCTCTGGGTGAGGCAGTGAATTCAAATTTAGGGAAATTCCCAGTGCAACCTCTTGGACTTAGGAAGAAGCTATGCTGGGTTCCACATTAGTATGAGATGCCTTGTTTAGGGCATTTAGATACAGGAAGAGGGGAACAGAGAGCATATCTGTGGTAGAGTGCATGCTTGGTGGGCATGAGGTCCTGGGTTCAATCTCCAGTGCCTCCATTAAGGGGGAAGAAAGGATACAGGAAGATGAGTGAAACTCTTTAAGACATTTTTAATTGTGACGTGGAGAGTTCTGAGAATAGCCCAGTTTGATGAGCTGGACTGTCTGTAGATGCTGATGATGTGGGAGTTCATGGATACTGCAACTCTCCTAGGCCAACAATGGGGTCTGTTTCCTGCGCTTTGACGATACCAACCCTGAGAAGGAGGAAGCAAAGTTCTTCACTGCCATCTGTGACATGGTGGCCTGGCTGGGTATGGATTGGGCAAGGCCTGGGCAGAACTGGTGATCAGTGGGCCTCTCCCTGGGCTATGGTCTGCCCTCAGGTGTCTGGCTGGCTGCTAATACTATGTCTCATTCTGCCCCAGGTTATACGCCTTACAAGGTGACATATGCCTCTGACTATTTTGACCAGCTCTATGCCTGGGCTGTGGAGCTTATCCACAGGTGAGGCCAGGGCCATGATGTGGTGCCAGACAGGCTGACCAGGACATAGCCATGCTGGGCACTCACACCCCTTTCCCACAGGGGCCAGGCCTATGTGTGCCACCAGCGAGGAGAGGAGCTCAAAGGCCACAATCCACTGCCCTCACCCTGGAGGGACCGTCCCACAGAGGAATCACTGCTGCTCTTTGAGGTGGGGTTCTGGGGGTGCCACTGGGTCTGGGCTGGCTTGGATGCTGAGGATAAGATGCCCTTGTGCTGAGTGGCAACCTGAGCCCTTGCTCCACTCAGGCAATGCGCAAGGGCAAGTTTGCGGAGGGAGAGGCCACACTGCGGATGAAGCTGATAATGGAGGATGGCAAGATGGACCCTGTGGCCTATCGAGTCAAGTATACACCACACCACCGCACAGGGGACACCTGGTGGGTATGAGCTTGGGGTGGGGTTGCGGAGTTGTAGAGTGGGGTGGTGGACCGTGGGTAGGGCAGAGTGGGGCTGGATGGTGGGGACCACTGCCTGTGCCCTGCAGGTGCATCTACCCCACCTATGACTACACACACTGCCTCTGTGACTCCATCGAGCACATCACCCACTCACTCTGCACCAAGGAATTCCAGGCCCGGTGAGGGAGCTGGCCCATGGGGTGGGTAGGGCCAGTGGGATTCCAGCAGCCCTTCCTGGTCGGCAGTGGCCAGTCCTGACTGTACCCTCTTACCCCAGACGCTCTTCCTACTTCTGGCTGTGCAATGCACTGGACGTTTATTGTCCTGTGCAGTGGGAATATGGCCGCCTCAATCTGCACTATGCTGTTGTCTCTAAGAGGAAGATTCTCCAGCTTGTGGCAGCTGGCGCTGTGCGGTAGGTGTGGCTGTTTGGCTCACTGAAGGTTGCTGATACTGGTAGCATGTGCTGTCAAAGGCCTTTTTACCACCTCCTTGCCCACAGGGATTGGGACGACCCACGGCTCTTCACGCTCACCGCCCTGCGACGGCGTGGCTTCCCACCTGAGGCCATCAACAACTTCTGTGCTCGGGTATGGCCCAGTGGGCTGAGTGGGCAGGTGGGGGCTGAGCACAGCAGTATGTGGTTATGGCTGTGACTGAAGCTGACCTTTCCTGCTAGGTGGGGGTGACAGTGGCACAGACCACAATGGAGCCACATCTGCTAGAAGCCTGTGTGCGTGATGTGCTGAATGACACAGCCCCGAGGGCCATGGCTGTGCTGGAGTCATTACAGGTGGTCATCACCAACTTTCCTGCTGCCAAGGTAGGTTTGTGTCAGTTTGTGTGTCAGGTACGTGCCTCTGGATCTGGCTGTAGGAATCCCAGTGCCTAGTTATGACTCAGATACCTATCTCCTTCTATAGTCCTTGGACATCCAGGTGCCCAACTTCCCAGCTGATGAGACCAAGGGCTTCCATCAGGTCCCCTTTGGACCCATTGTCTTCATCGAAAGGACTGACTTCAAGGAGGTGAATGAGGGGAAGGGGTGGAGGTTCCTGTTTGCTCCTGAGCCCAGTCCTGAGGTCCTGTCATCTGTCATTCCATCTACTTCCTGCTTCAGACAAACCAACCCCTGCCAGACACAGGGGTGGGGAGAAGCCTCTTGAACCTGTCTGACCCTTGCAGCCTCTTGTGTCCACCCCATTTCCTACCTCTAGGAGCCAGAGCCAGGCTATAAGCGCCTGGCATGGGGCCAGCCTGTGGGCCTGCGGCATACAGGCTACATCATCGAGCTGCAGCATGTTGTCAAGGTGAGAGCCAGCTACAGCCTTCCTACTGCAGTGCCTGCTGGGGTGAAAGTCTCGGTGCAGCCTGTAGCCTTGGTAGTGGTCTCCAAGTCTGATTGCAGTTCCCCTTGACTTCCAGGGCCCCAGTGGCTGTGTGGAAAGCCTCGAAGTGACATGCAGACGGGCAGATGCTGGAGAAAAGCCCAAGGCATTTATTCACTGGGTATCACAGCCTCTGAAGTGTGAGATTCGCCTCTATGAGCGACTGTGAGTGAACAGAGCTGGGGTAGGGGCAAGTTCAAGATGGGCATTGCTGTGGCCGCCCAGTTGGAGTCTCACCTTCATTCTGGCTACAGATTTCAGCACAAGAACCCCGAGGATCCTGCTGAGGTGCCTGGTGGATTCTTAAGTGACTTGAACCCGGTAGGCTCATGGGGTGTGGGGTGAGGGTGGTGGGCCTCTCTGTCTGGATGGCTACCTGAGTTCCCTGTCTGTAGGCATCACTACAAGTGGTGGAGGCAGCATTAGTGGACTGTTCTGTGGCTCTGGCAAAGCCCTTCGATAAGTTCCAGTTTGAGCGGCTTGGCTACTTTTCTGTGGATCCAGACAGCTACCAGGGACAGGTGCTTGAATTTATCTTTCCGTAATAATAGTGGCTACCATTCACTGTGCAAGCGCTTTCTTATTTAATCCTCACCACTTGATATGGGGTTCATGTTCTGTTTATGAGGAAACAGGCTCAGAAGTTAAGTTCACACACAAAATTTTGTATGGACCTGCCTTTCTCACTCAAGATAGGGGTAGGCATGGGGATTGTTAGAATCCTTTTAAAATGGAGGCCCACAGCCATCCAGTCCTTGAGCCAAAGTCATAAAGTTATTAGGAATTGAAGTTTCTTGACCCTTGGCTCCTCTGGGATGAGGTGAGGGTTGGAGTGTTGTCCTGGTTCTGGCCTGGTGGTCATTCTTACCCCTCTTCCCTTCAGCTTGTATTCAACCGGACCGTGACACTGAAGGAGGACCCAGGAAAGGTGTGAACTAGAAGCCCCATGGACCTACCTCATCCTCTGGAGACTTGGCGTACCCAGACTCCATGTCAATAAAGAACAGTTAAATCCCCCTGGAGTCTGTGTTACCTCTCTGCCCTCCTAGCGCCTGATGGCCTAGAGCCATGCTGGGGTTGGGGGAAGGTGCAGTGCACACAGGGCTGACAGCTTTGAAACCACTGGTGCACTCCTTGGTGCCTAAGGGCAGTGGCCTGGGCCTGACTGGATATCTTCCACACCTGGTCTGAGGGAATGGCAGGTCCTGGGCTGCTGCTCCACTGTTAGGAGCCCTGTGTCAGAGGGACCTGGAAGGCTTGTGTCTGCCTGCATGCCTGGCTCCAAGTTCCATCATTCAGCAAATAATTGAGTGCCAACTATGGGCCAGGAACAGTGAGATGAGGAAGACTTGTGCAGTGGCCTTCCAAGTCCACTATCTAGTTGGGGAAGCAGAGGGTGACCAGGCACTGTGCAGGAGAGGTCTCCCTGGGGCCTGTGTGGGGCTGGAGGAGCTTCCTGACCCTGCCTGGGCCTCAGAAAACTAATCTCAGGAAATACCTCCTGAGCAGAAACCCAAAGGACTAGGAGTCCACCAGAGCAAGGGGAGCAAGTGCAAAGGTCCAGAGGCCTTTTTCAGAAAGATCCTATGGTAGACTGGTTGCCCTCTGGGGCACTGTGGGCTACTGGTGAGGCCCATGTGCGCCTGCAGCTTTAACACTTTCCACATTTTCCCTGTATACAAACACCAGGCTACTGGAGGCCCGCTTTAAGGTGGACTGGACTGCAGAAGGCTGAATTAGGATGACAGCAGATGTAGGGTGAGGGGTGGGTCTCACATGCTAGGGACTCCTGGAGTAGAGTGAGCAGGGGCTTCCAAGGTAGGGTGCAGCTGGAGGCGCTGGGATTAGGTCAGGGGTTTTGGGGGGCCACCTTAAGTAAGAGGCCGGGCTCCGCACCGCGTCAGGCTGCGCGACCCAAGGAGGCCCGGGAAGACAGCAGCAGGGTCCAGAGAGCGAGCTTGGAGTCCTGGCTTGCCCAGGCTCCTTGGCTAGGCCGAACTCCAGCCCTGGCTCCGCCCCACATGGAGGGGAGTCTGAGGGCGGGGCGCTCTGCCCCACCCCCCGGGCTCTTCTCTTCGCTATTGCAGCCCTAGGTTCGGCAGAAGCGTTCCCTTTAAGTCTGGCCAGGAGGTAGCATCAACTCTCGCGGGATTCGATGCTTCAATTATCGCGAGAGAGGTATTCAGCACCCATTGGCTGGGAGGGTTGAATGTAAGATGGCGCCCAGGGAGCTGTGAGGGGAAAATCCTGTCGGTCTTGGAGCGGCGACGGCAGAACCGGGGCCCCGAGTGGTGCGGCGGGGCCAGCGGGTAGAACGGCGGCGGCGGCGGCGGCGGCGGCGACGTCGCCGGGTGAGGGCTCCAGTGGGGGCAGGGATGCGGCGAGGTTGCGGCCCTGAGACAGCGGGCCCACCCCACACAACGGCGGGCGGGGGCGGGCGGGCCGCTGCCGCTGGGCCCAGGAGACCTCGGGGCGGCTCCGGAGCCGAGAACGTCCCTGGGCTCGCGCGCCCCCGCCCCTGGGTGGGGGAGGGGCGGGTCGGGGATTCGGGTGGGCGCGGCGCGCGAACGCGCGCCGGTGCTCGCGCGCGACTGGGCCTGTTTATACGTTCGGGGGCGCGCGCGCTGTGCGGCCCTCCCGGTGCGCGTGGCCGCTGACGTGCGCGTCCCCGGCCCGGATATCTCGGTTCCTGGAGCTGCAGCCCGTGGGCCAGAGCAGCTTTCTGGGGCGCGCGCCCCGAAGCCGGGGGTCGCGGGCGGGCGGGCGCGCGCGCCCTACTGTTGGGTGGCGGCACCGCTGCGAGGGCGCGCGGGACACCTCTGCTGCGGGGAGGGGCGGCTGGCGGGCGGGCGCCTCGCAGTGTGTAGAAGGTTGCGGGTTGGGCCCTTCCTGCTCAGGTGACGTCCCCGGACCGCCGGGGCCTAGGCCTAGGGAAAAACCAACCAGCTTTGCGGTCTGCCTTGCGGCCCTGCTTCTTTGCGAAGCGGGCGAGATTGCTGGATCTCTAAGAATGCGGTGTGCCGAGGCCCTTGTGCAGGGTGGGTGCTTGGGAGGTTGCTGTCCTGATTCTGAAACTGATCCCTGTTGGTTTATGAGAGCGGCGAACCCCCTCGACTTTACTCACCTTGTTTTGATGCTTTGTGCTAGAGAGGGAAGGCAGATCCTAGAAGGCCCTTCAGTGGTACCTGTTTTCTTGTCATTAGAAAGTAATTCTACTTGAGCACAATTCCTACACGTCACCTCTGTGCGCTCCGGAATGAGATCCACTTCTTCGGACGCTGTGGAACCACCCAAGCTTTAAAATGACACTTTAAATCCTTAAACGCAGCCTTTCCCTCTATGTGAGTGGGAGGGGCTTACTTGTATTCTGTTATGTTAAGGGCCCGCTATTGCTCAGCCAAAAAGTTGCCGAAGCAAAATTGAACAACCTGAGAATCTTTTCTTGTTTTGTAAATCCAAAGTTCTCCAGCAGAAATTCCTAAAATCTGCCTATGTCTCACTTTTGATGGAGGATTTCAATCCGTTTCAGCTCCCCGCCCCCCACGCCACCCCCGCCTTGAAATCCCAGCACTGCGTTCTGATGCCAGGGGAGTTCTAGGTTTGTCCTAGAGAAATGTGCACTTCTTTTTCCTAAGACAAAACATCTGCTAGTTTATATTTTACACTTTTGCTTCATTAAGTTGAAGGAAAAAGAAACCAAAAGAAACTAACAAAATCAATAAAATTGATAATGATGGGGTACTTTTTCCTAATATTCTGTATTATTTTAAGAACAAAGTTAAAACTTAAAAAAGAGGCTGAGGGTGGAAGGAACTTCTTTGTTCTATCTTCTTCAGAATGTTACAAGTCTTAAGAACTCAGGACAAGCAGCAGAAATACATGCAACATGGTGACTGGTGAGTTAAAATCGTTCATATGCTGGAAATACGTGTGCAGTTTTTTTTCCCCTGGTAATACTGAAACATTACACATCCTGCCAATCATTCTGGGTGCTGTCTGCCAGAAACTGCTAGGTGCTGGAAAATTGAATATGTGGGACAATTGCATCTTTGAATCCGGCTGGTTTGCTGCTTGAACAGTTTTTCTCTCTTAGAATATAAGTCAGTGCAACTTAGAGGTTTTAGCATGACAAGACATCAGTTTTTCTAAGGACCCAAATGGTTCAAAGACAAGCAGTCAGGTTAATCTAGAATACACTGAAATTTTTAATATATACCATTTAAACCTGCTTTTTCTGGAATATCTTTGTTTTTAACCATTAAGTTTGAGATCTGCCTTTCAAATTGGTGTCTGTACAAAAATTTTTTCATAAGCTTATTATTAAGATTTACCTATTAAAAGATGTCCTACTTCCAGTCCTCTGTGATGAATAATTTGTGTATGTCTTCATGAACCTCTGCCTTTCCACATCTCCTTTCAGCTTATGTTGCCATTTTAAAGGAAAGATCAAATAGTGTTTGAATTTTCTTGTAAATTTGAATTGCTCCAAAAAGGTAACCAAAGTTAGGAGCTCTGGGTGTGGCTGTCTTCTATCATGACAGCTTCAGAATCTTTCAGAAGGGATTTCTTCATTCAAGCTTGCCTGTCTTCTTTTAACTTAATCAAGTGCAAATTTGTCTTTGATATGCCGTGTTTCTTGTCTGTTTTTTAAATGGTCACTTTATCTGTAATGGTCTTATTTCTCAGCCTCAGAATGAGATGTTACATGAACACCTGTTCTTTTCAGTTACTTTGTATATAGGTTCCTGCATTTTGTTCCAGATGTTAAAAGTCCTTTCCAGGTTTCAGTTAAGTGCTTCGTTAGTTTTTCCCTAAGTGTCACACTGGATTGTGATTTCTAATTGTGGCTGCAGGAAGAAATAATAGATTAACCCCTTGCTTTTCTGGAAAGAGGAAAAGAATGGTTCTTTGGTTTCACACTTTAGGCTGGGGCAAAACTGTAGAAAGAGCTGGTAGGCTGTGTCAGAGAGTTTGTGTGTGTGTGTGTGTGTGTGTATGTAAAATATCTATCTATATTAATTCAACTGATCTGTATACTGTTTAATGAAAAATTATAAAGTGAACCACTGTGTAGCTAGCACCTCTTCAAGAACTAGAACAGTGCCAGCACTTCTGAACCCTTCATGGAGCCCATCCTGGTCACAGCTTCACAACCCCTATTGCTGTTCTGACTTCTGTGATAATTGTATTTTTTGTTTTCTTTTTAGTACCTTGTTCCCCTCAACAATGTAATTTTATTTAATTTTGAATTTTATATAAATGGAGCCATAATGTATCTTATGTTTTCTTTTAGCTTTGTGCTTGTGAAATTCATCCACATGGTGTTCATTCATCCTTGTTTCTATATAGTATTCTGCAGGATGAACATACCATAATTTATTTTTTCATTCTATTACTGATAGACATCTAGAATCTTTCCAGTTTGGGGCTAGTAAGAATGCTACTATGAACATTATTGTGTAAGTACCTTTGTATATGTGTGTGTCATATACATCTAGGGATAGAGTTGCTGGGTCATATGGAATGGATGTTTTTAGTTCCACCAGATAATGCAAACAGTTGTACCAGTTTACAGCCCATCAGTCGTTGGTAGGAATGTGAATTAGAAAAGTTCCTAGTTGAAAGTATGTTGTCCAGAACTAGAACCATGGTAAAAATGCCCCTACATCAGGGATTCCTCTGTCTGGTGAAGGTATGGGGCAGATGAATGTTCCAGTGGGATAATTACTATCACAAACCCTGTAGTGGGTTAGTATCTTTTTTTTAACCTCCAGAGAATTTTGTAAAAGTAGTTAATACTTTGAACAAATACAAAATAACTAGGTAAGTATTAAAATTATGCACTCTAAACCCAAGAAAGCAGAGACACCATTATAAGCCAAATCATTCTTTGAGCCGGTCATTCCAGGTTACAAAAATGCATGAAACAAAACTTGTACTTTTTAGGCTTAGTGAAGAGAAATAAAACAACTCCAGAAAGAGGGTTAGTATCTTTAAGAATAGAAATATGTCTCCTAATCTCCTTTGAAATGACTCCTTAAGTTAATTAGGACAGATGTGGCTGCAGCTTCTTAAAATGGATATTGATTCTTTTTTCACACAAATGTGTTCTTCAAACCAGAACTAAGCTATGAGGATTCATTGCTAATAGATGTGAGCCTTGAAAGGGGCCCAAAATCATGACTGTTGGGTAACCAGGAAGAGGCTGGGCTCTGAGACTGCTCCTGGTGTCTTCTCTTAATCCATCACATGTTCAAGACCCACTCTGCAGAGCTGCATGAGGAGCCAGGAAGAGTATCAGAGATTTGAGAGGACCCTAGAAGGGGTAATTCCCCTGAGTACTTAGACCTTCCTTTAGTACCTAAATAGAAGAAAGAAATTAGCAAACTGAAATGTAATAGATTGTTGCTTTGGACTAACGTTTTGTCTATAGTACCATCTTACGTACTAGTGATAAAATAATTAGAATAATGATAACATTGATATATCTCGGGTCTGCTTTGTGTCAGGCACTGTGCTAAGCTCCAGTAGAAGGAACTACAGGGGAAATACCATTGACAATATGTGTGTTGTAGTGAAAATTTCCTGAGTCTGTTGTTGAGGGGTTGGTTTACCTGTTTATTGTTTTGCAAAGCAGCTATACTTAAAGTATTCAGAAGCAAATGCTTGTTTACAGACTCCTCCACCCCAGTGAGCCCCAGAGTGTTTTCCCCTCCATTTCTGACTCCAGAAATTGGGAGTGCTCAACTCCCAATTCATGTTTTCCAGAAGTATTCTAGTTAATCAGTTTATTTATTGCTCTCACCAAGTCTTTGACTTGGAGCTAATTAAGAATATTGTTTGTTTTAGGGTTATAGAGAGTAGTTTCGTTAAGTTTATCCATTTTTATTTCTCTTGTTACCAAGGCTTAGCATTGTGTATCTTGAAAGTTAACATCTTGAAGTTAACAGTCTCCATTATTATGCAAGCTTCTGGTGCTTGATAGTTTTGTTTGTATTTAAGAGTTTCAGATTTTGACGGAAAAATCAAACTGTGATCAACCATAATTGTTAATGTATCTGTTACTGTTTTGTGGTATAACTGCTGTGCAAAAAGTGTTACTTTTTAACTGTCTTTTTGGTTTAATACAAATTGTGGAGAATACAGGAGTGTATTAAACAGGAGGAAATTTAAGTCTTACTGTGATTTTACACCATCCAGGCATAACTGCTGTTAGCATTTAAATGCAATTTTTGCCAGTTTTTTTTTCTTATGTACACAACTAAACCATACGGGGATAAATAAATAAAATTGTATTGGCTCCCTTTTTGCACATAATGTATTTCTGTGCCATTAAATTTTAAAATTTTAA